GACCTTGGCCCTGTCAGCACGTTTCTGTCTTCGACGCCTTCGAGGAGGTGCAGTTACGTTAGTGAGGGTCTTGGCGTGTGTGTGTGTGTGTGTGTGTGTGTGTGTGTGTGTGTGTGTGTGTGTGTGTGTGTGTGTGTGTGTGTGTGTGTGTGTGTGTGTGTGTGTCAGACTTGACAGAAAAAAAAATATATAATTATTTTGTGTATCATATGTTTTCTTACCACTGTAGAGTGTTTTGTTATCAGTGATCTTGGAAAATTCAAACTTATCTTAGCGAGAAAGTGAAGTCATAGCCTCAATTGTTAATTTAGACTGAAAGCACAAAAAGGTAATGTATCGAGTGGATCGATACAAACGAAAAAGGCAATAAACATTACCAAGAAATGAAGAAAGTAAGTGATAAAGTAATGAGTAAGAAAAACACAATTTCACGTTTCTCTCCTCTTCCTTTGAAAAAAAAAAAATCTGTCGCGAAATTAGAAACTAATAAAACAAATAATATGTAAAGGTAACCAGATTTCAGTGCATATGCTATATTTAAAAGAACATTTCCACCTATGATTCCAGTAATCTTCTACAATTTTATCTATTTTACTGATACCAAGAACTCGAGCTCTATCGTTACCAAGAGCTTTTTTTTGGCGTGTATGTGCGTCTGTACGTACCCTTTACCCTTTACTCCTAAGGGCTATTGTATAAAGGTCTTAAGATGGACGGAGAAACCTTACTTATAAGCCCTTTCTTGGTATGGAAGGTCATCTAATAGATATAACGTGTAGCTTAGCAAGAGCAAAGGAAATGCATGTGACCTACTTAATATGTTTTTTTCCCTACGTTGTGTTATGTTCAGTAGGTCTATATGCGGATGACACTGGACTGTTGGATATCATTTTATGATTTTAGGTTTGTTATATCTTCTTTGGTTATTTTCTCACATCCCTTGGTTTAATTTCTCTGTCTGTCTGGTTGTTTGTTTGTTTGTTTGTCTGTCTGATTGTCTGTCTGTCTGCCTGTCTCTTTCTCTCTCTCTCTCTCTCTCTCTCTCTCTCTCTCTCTCTCTCTCTCTCTCTCTCTCTCTCTCTCTCTCTCTCTCTCTCTCTCTCTCTCTCTCTCTCCCACGCGACAACTGATGGCTCATATAAACAAACTCGATAACGATAATAGCTATCTATTGACTGGAGGACGATTTATATGAATAGATACTAAGATGTTATCGTAAATTGAACCTCAATCGTCCGGCTTTCGCTTTTCCGGCAGTTTATAGGATTTTGGACTGTGAAGTGACTCAGACGCTTACTATTGTCCACCGCCTTACCTTAAACTGATAGAAGAACAACAACGAAGACTTATTAGTTCTCATGTCAAACTCACAAATAGGAGAAAGCTTATTTGAGACTTCGTAATTCCAGAAAGAGACATAGAGAAAGAGAGAGAGACAGACAAACAGACAGACATACAGATAGAGAGACAGAGAGAAAGAGAAAGAGAAAGGGAGAGGAGAGAGAGAGAGAGAGAGAGAGAGGGAGAGAGAGAGAGAGACAGACAGAGACAGAGAAAGAGAGAGAGAGAGAGAGAGAGAGAGACAGAGGGAGAGAGAGAGAGCAAAGGAGACTTTTTTTTTACTTTAACAATCTTATTGATCCAAACTTTTACACCTGAAATGGACACGGTACTTTAGGCTACCCTCACCCGCACTTTGATAAGTCCTCAAACATAATGTTTATATATTCAGTATCACTCTTAAGTACATCTTGAATCATATGATACATAAAGAGCATTGATTTGTACTGAAATGTCTCTCTCAGTATCTTAGACTCTAGCTACGCAGTAGATTTACACGGCAATTGTTTTGCTGATAATGAACAAGACTGGACAGAATTTTAATCAACTTTCCGAATTTCGGTAGGAAAAGTGGGCGTGAGATTTCGGTGGGCAAAGTGGTCGTGAGATTTCGGTGCGCAAAGCGGGCTGTGAGATAGTCTAAGTGGGTTGTGAGATCTCGGTGGGCAAAGTGGTTATGAGATTTCAATAGTTTAAGTGGCCGTGAGATTCCGATAGTCTAAGTGGGCGTGAGGTTCCGATAGTCTAAGTGGGCGTAAGATTACGATAGTCTAAGTAGGCGTGAGATTTTAATAGTCTAAGTGGGCGTGAAATTCCGATAGTCTAAGTGGACGTGAGATTTCGGTAGATTTCAAGGAGTGAATGAGCTTTTAGCATTTTAAAAAAGCGCAAGCAAGGTATGGCCAACACTTCCTCTCCCCCCCCCCTTCTCTCCCTTCTCCCCTCTACCCTACTGACGGAGGGAGAAGGAGGGGGGGGAGGGTCTATCTGCAGACGCGTACGCATTCGGGCGCATGCTGTTCACGGATCCACCGAGGCGTTCGCTCTCCCCGCCTGGTTTCACTCTAGAGAGATAATTTCTGTCTGATACAATAGTTCCCTGTGTTGCGAAAATGCTTAGACAGTCGGAAAAAATGCTTGACGAGGTAGAAGAACCTGTGTTTCGAGTTCGCCGCTGTGGAAACGATTGGTAAAAGGTGAGGAGAGAAGACTTTGACAACGAAATGATTTACAAGACCAAACC